TGGGGGTTCTAATGGAACTCCAATGGGAAGAAGAAGTTGATGGTTGGAAGATCTAGGTCAGCATTTCTTTTTTGCTTTTTAATATATCTTTGTTCAGGTATAATTGACATATAATAAACTAAACACATTTAAGCACGCAAGTTGATGAGGTTGAAACCATCTCCACAATGAAGACAATGAATACATCAGCCATCCTCATGTCTCCTTGCACCCCTTGCCATTGTTCCCTCTGCCCCTACCTGACCCCTTCTCCCTACCCCAACCAGCAATCACTGGTTTGCTTTCTGTCACTATAGATTTGTTTGCTTTTTCTTGTATTTTTTGAAAATGAGATCATGTAGTACTTCTTTTTATCTAGCTTCTTCACTCAACATAATTATTTTTAGACTAATCTATATGGTTGAAAGTACCAGTAGTTTATTGCTGAGTAACATTCAATTGTATGGATATGCCACAATTTGTTTACCCATTTACCTGTCAATGAATACTTACATCATTTACAGTTTTTACCTGTACTGATAAAGCTGCTATGAATACTCATGTACAAATCTTTGTATGTACATATTCTTTCAGTTCTCATAGGTAAATACATGGAATTGGAATGGTTGGATCACATAGTAAGTGTATGTTTAACTTTCCAGAAAACTGTTCTATTTTTCCAAAGTGGTTGTTCCATTTTACACTTCCACCAGCAGTGGAATGAGAGTTTCAGTTGCTCCACATTCTGGCCAACTCTTGATAATAGTCTTTTTAATTTTAGCCATTCCAATTAGTGTGTAGCTATCTCATTGTAGTTTTAATTTGCACTTCCCCAATGGCTAATAATGTTGAGCATCTTTTCATGTGCTTATTTGGCAACTGCATACCTTCTTTGGTAAAGTATATGTTCAACACATTTGTACACTTAAAGAAATTGTTTTATTATTATTGAGTTTTGAGAGTTCTTTATGTAGTCTGGATACAGTCCTTTATCAGATACATGATTTGCAAATATTTTTCCTATTTTGTGAGTTTACTTTTCAATCTATTAAAAGTATTCTTTTGAAGAGCAGAAATTATTAATTTTTATAAAAACCAATTCGTCCTTATTTTTCATTTTATGGATTGTGCTTATTTCTAAGTATTTCATGTTTTTGATGCTATCATAATTGGCATTATTTTTAAAAATTTAATTCATGATTGTTTGTTGCTAGTATATAGAAATGTAATTGATTTGTTAAGTGCTTAACTTGTATCCTGAAAACTTGAAAATTCATTTAGTAGTATGAGTAGCTTTTTTGTAGATTCTGTCAAATTTTTCCTATAGGAGATCATGTTGTCTGTTTTTTTTTGTCTTTCTATTTATTTATTTATTTAATTTCATTCATCAATATTTTATGGTTTTCATTGCACAGTGTTAAATTTAGTATTTCTTTCTTTCTTTCTTTTATTTCAGGATATTATGAGGGTACAAACATTTTGGTTACATTTTGTGACTTTGCCTCACCCAAGCAGGGATTAGAAGCATGCCCTTCCCCTCTACAATGCTCGCCCCATCCATTTGTTGTGAGTTTATAAAGACTGTTTTACTCTTTTTTTCCAATCTGGGTGCCTTTTATTTATTTATTTATTTTTACTTATTGCACTTACTAAAATCTACAGTATGTTACTGAATGGAAATGGTGAAAGTGGATTTCCTTAGCTTCTTCCCACTATTTGGAGAAAAGCATTCTGTCTTCCACTTTAAGTTAGCTGTGGGGTTTTTTATAGATTTCATTTATTGGTTGAGGATATTTCATTTTATTCCTCATTTGCTGAGAGTTTTCAGAGTTAGATGTTGGATTTGGTTGAATACCTTTTCTGTGTTTTTGAGATGATCATATACTTTTAGGTTTTTAGTTTATTAATATGGTAGCTTATATTAATTGATTTTTTATCATTTTTATTTTTTTATGAAAATAATTTAAAATTTTAATATATATTTTATTGATACAATTGTACATGTTTATGGGGTATCTGTGATATTTTGATACATGCATACCATGTATAGTGATCAAATCAAGGTATTTAGGATATCCATCACCTCAAATATTTATCATTTCTTTGTGTTAGAAACATATTAAATCTTCTCGCTATTTTGAAATATAGAATAAATTATTGTTAACTGCAGTCACCCTACTGTGCTATTGAACACTAGAACTTATTCCTTCTCTCTAGCTTTGTGTTCGTACCCATTGACCAACTTTTCTTTATCCTCACACCACCCTTCCTAGCTTCTAGTAACCCTTGTTCTCTACCTTCATGAAATCAAGGTATTTCTGGGATAAATCTCACTGGTGATGAGTTTAAGTTGTAAAATTTATTTGCATGAAGTTGTTCACAATATACCCTTAGTATTTCTTTAATGTTTATACAATATCTAGTGTTTTCATCGCTCTCGTTCCTGTTATTGGTAATTTGTGTCTTCTCTCTTCTATTCCTGAGCAGTGAGACTAGCTATTTATAAATTTTATTGATCTTCTCAGAAAAACATGCATCATCTCTCAGTCTCATCAGTATTCTCTGTTTTCTATTTAATTGTTCACTCTCATCTGCATTATTTCCTCTCTTCTGCTTACTTGGTGTTTAATTTGCTCTTTTCCTGGTTTCTTAAGGTGGAAGCTGAAGTTATTTGTGAGAGATCTTTCTTCCTTTAATGTAGGCATTTAGTGCTATAAAACTGCCCCTAAATCCTGCTTTAGTGGCATCTTACAAATTCTGCTAGGCAGTGTTTTCGATTTCCTTTTTGACTTTCTCTTTGATCCTATTCCCTTTAATCTTTTCAGTACTTCTTTCCCTGCACTCAGGTGGTTTCCTCACCTGCATGTGTTAATCAGTCTCTCCTGAATAATTGAGAGGGACCCTCTGCAGATCTCCAGAGTTCTCCCTCTGTATAATACTTCCCTCCCTGCTGCTCAGTCCTGTGAGCGCTGCCCCCTTGACCTCAGTGATCCCGAATGAGCTACGCCTCCTCAAATGAGGGAGTTGGGCTCTGCCTGGGTTTCCTCTCCCTGAACTGTGGCCTTCATTATCTTATGTTCACTGTTTTAAAAACTGTTGTTTCATATATTTTGTTCAGAGTGTTGGTGGTTGTTGATTGGGAGACTAAATCTGTTCCTTATTACTGCATCTTATCCAGAGGAATTGTCAGTATTTTTGCTTTTTTGTTTTTCTTACAACTTAGTATTGGATTCTAAAATTTATTGAGTTATTATAACTATCACAACGAAATGGTATAGAATAGAAAGTATTTGTGCATTCCATGCATTAGGGGTAAATAAATTTTGTTTTGTGAAACTTTTTTTTAGTTAGTATATGCATTTCTGGATGTGTGCATGGGGTTGTGATATAAAAGGCATTTCCTATTGTGGATCATGGTCAAAATAGTTTGAGAAACCATCTAGTATATTATTGTCCAGGTCAGGCAGAAGCCTGCAATGCTTAGTTTCTATCCCTGCATTGGAGGAATCTGGAGAAAATCATCTCTATTTCACATTATCTATCTGAAAAATGGTCATCATCCCCTACAAAACTATGGTCTAACAATCTCTGAAATGATCTCTGGGAAATACCTTGTAGACCTTAAAATTAAGATAGTCCCACAGTTCCATCAGTTAAGATAGAATTCGTTATTTATTGCCACTGTGTTCTAGACACTGTGCGTGGTAGTTTGAGTTACCAGCATGGATGAGAGGGAGGCCCTCCCTGGCCCAGTGCTGAAACACTTCTGGCTACTTAGAGGCGGCAGAAAGCAAGGCTTCAAGAAGTGCTATGAGCACTCAGAGCACAGGGAATATTCAGGATTGTGGAAGTGGGAGGGAGAGTGTTCAGGGGGATTTATTCAGGCAGACTTGCAGGGTTAGAGGATGAGAAAGTGAGATCTCAACTTTGGTTTATTTCATTTATTCATGAAACACACACACATTCTAATATCTACTATGTGCTTGAGATATATCAATGAACAAAATAGATAAAAATCCCTGCTTTCGTGGAGTTTACATTCTACTGGGAAAAATAAAGAACCCACAATAAATGTAATACGTAAATGATCTGTTAAAAAGACAAACTACTATGGATGCAAAAGTAGAGGTGGGGGAGGGCGATTAGAAGTGGGGCCGCCAGTTCTACTTTTAAGTGCTATATATTCAATGAATATATTTAGAATCCAAATATAATAGTAGCGTATATTTATTCTAATACAAATTCTACAAATATTCCAACATAATTAGAATTTTCTGGTCTACAAACCTCTCTAAAACTGCCGATTCTCTGAGCACTGCATTGACACTCTGCAGCCACTAGGGCGCAAATGGGCCATTTCTGAGAAAAAATGGGGTGAGCGTGGGGAGTGTGAGAGCGACGTGGGTAATTATGCACACAGCTCTCCCCTAAGTGTTCCGCAGGGGCTTCTCCACTTAAAGGACACTGGCAAGACAGGCGGAGTTTTACTGTGCGACCTGGACCAGGAGATTTTTGCCCTTGGCTTCCCTTCCTTGGCATGTCCTCACCCAGCGGAGGACGGAGGCCAAGCCGAGGAACAAACTTCAGCCTGGCCATTCGGCACCCGATTCGTATCACAGCCTGGTGACAGTGGTGAGGCCGACCTACTGGCCTCGTCTTCGGGGCTGCAGCGACATTTCTGGGTGCTGCCCGAGGAATCTCGCGGTTACACTCCGTGCCTGGGGTCTGTACAAAAGCTCCACTACATGCTTTACGTTCCCCTTGTAATATTTAAGGCGTAGCCTAGATCCGAGCGTTCACGCTGACGTTCGGTTTCCCGGTCCTTCCCATCCTTAGCCTCTGCGGGCAGATCGGTGACCATTACTATATTTTGGACAGGACTCCAGCCCGTTGCCCTCTCTCGAGCGGAAGGACCGCCAGCCTTTTCCCCCAGCAGGAGGTCGGCGAGGTCAGGCGAGCGGCTCACCTGCCGGGCAGGGACGCGCACGCGTAGGGCGCCGCCGGTTGCGCATCTGGCGCCGGAGCGCGCCCCCAGCGCAGTGCCCGCGGCGACCGCGGCCGTGGCTGGTGCTCCGGAGCGTGGCGGGCACTCTCCGCCCGCGCGGGGGCACCAGAGCCCTCGGAAGTGTCAGGCACTGCGGTGCATTTTCTCAGTTCCCTTTTAAATGACTGCGGAAAAACAGACTCTCCGAGCCGCAAATGGAAAGACGGATTCTCAGACAAGGCTTGCGAATGCCCCGCAGCCATCATTTAACTACGCCCGCAGAGCAGTTACGGTGTGTCACCCGACCCTGCCGCATCTCCTCATTTGTCCCTAGTGAGACCCCGAGGCTCTGCCAGCGCCAGGTTTCTTGGTAGCTGGGTGCATAAGGTGCGCCGGGCCCCGCGGGCGCAGGGCACGCGTTTGCGCACACCCGCGCACACATGAACACGCGCAAGGTACGGCCGGGGAGCAAGGGCTCGGGGTGCCCCGCGTGGGGGTGGGCGTCGCGGGGAGTGCAGCTGCGATCTGGGAATGGCTGCGTCCTGCCAGGTTAAAGAAGGAGAGAAAATGAGGCGGCGCCACACATCGGACAGATAAGGGTTGCTGCCCTGCCGCGCATTTAGAGAACCCAATTCGCGTCAGCGCGCTCCCTGCCCCTCACATGTCTCTGTTTCCCCAGCGTGTGATAGCAAAAAAACAGCAGGAAAAGGACCCACTTAGGGAGCTAGAGTGTGTTTGGAGACTCCTTTTACTCTCCAAAAGCACCAACAGGAAGAGCCTCTGATCCCACTGATCCCCAAATAGGTGGCCCGGGTTGGGGGCGGTGATCCTTGGTTACCAATGCGGAACACGTTTTGGTGTTTACAATATTTATTTATTTTTAGGATAGCTCGTCCTCCCTTTTAGGCAGGGTGGGAAAGGAGAACGCAGCGGGGAGCGAGAGGGGAGGGAGGATTCCTATAATAAGAATCAGCGCATTTTTCAGAGCTGAACCCAGCCCGGTTTCCATTTCAAAAAGGGAGACAGCCAGCCTCTGCTGCGATGGTAGAAGACACGGTGTGAATTAGGGACCAGGAGGCGTCAAGCAGCGGAACGGTTCATCTCAGAGGTACCTGGATCTAAATGCACACACACACACACACACACATACACACACACGCACGCGCGCTCGTGTCTACACGGCCAGGATGTGTGCGTGTGTGTGCGCGCGTGTGTGAACTCCCACATGCTGCTGCTGTCTGCTTCTGGCCAGTGGCACCGATGCCTCCCTCCTCCCCGCTCGCCCCCAGATTCCCCTCCCCTCCCCGTTGCTTTTGTCTGGAGGGTGTTATGGGTTTGTGTGTGTATGAGCGTGTGTGTTTTTGGATTTCAGACTAATTTTCTGGAGTTTCTGCCCCTGCTCTGCGTCAGCCCTCACGTCACTTCGCCAGCAGTAGCAGAGGCGGCGGCGGCGGCGGCGGCGGCTCCCGGAATTGGGTTGGAGCCGGAGCCTCGCTCGCTCCTTCGCTCGCGCTCTCCGCGCTCGGTGCCCGGCGGCAGCAGGAGCCTGGACCCGGGCGCCGCCGGCGGGCGTGAGGCGCCGCAGCCCGGGTGAGCAGCGCAGACAGTACCCTCGGTCGCCTCGGCCCTCACTGTCCCCCCTGGGGCAGCCGCCGCTGCTCCCCAGGTGGGACGTGCCGCGCCACCTGCCCGCGCCTCCCGCGCCGGGCCGTGGCGGATTCTGCAGCATCATTCGGCGGCGCGTCGCGGAGCCGCAGCCGCCAGCAGTCTCCGCGCCCCCCTCGAAAGGGTCCTCCGCCCAGCATGTGTCGTGGAATCCTGTCTCGGGGGCCCTTTCCTACCTCCTCTCCCTTGGCCTCAGGCTTGAAGAGAGAGAGAGTGGGCACACTGGCGGTTCCCGAGGCGGCCGTGCCATCGCGGGGCAAGTTGATTCCCGGGCCGGAACTGGGCACTCGTCCATGCACAGTCGCCCGGCCGGGCCCGGGTGGGGGTGAGGCGAGTGCGGAGGGAGAGTGCCCAGTTCGTGGCGCTCCGGGTCCTGCGCCCAGTCTCACGCGTGTCTGTTTGTCCTCAGCCTCGAGGTGTGTGCCGGATCCCTGTGCGCCTCTAGCCAGAAGCCTGCGCCTCGGAGAGTCCCGGGCAGCGCCCGGCGCGCCGGGCCATGCAGCGACGGCCGCGGCGGAGCTCGCAGCGGCGGTAGCGCCCCCTGTGAGGCGGCCCGCGATGCCCCGGCCGCTGTGAACTGTGCAGCCCGCCCGAACGCGCGCCGCCCGGGCCGGCTCAGCCTTGGGCACTCTGGACTGCGAGCGGCCGCGACGAGCAGCCAGGAGTCGATAGAGCTGCAGGCGCGGGGAAGGCCTGCCCGCACAGGTGGGGGAAGCCGGCCGGTGCAGCAGCGCGGGGACAGACACTCGGGCTGGCGCTGGCGGCGAGGGATGTCGTCCTGGACGAGGTGGCGTGGACCCGCCATGGCGCGGCTCTGGGGCTTCTGCTGGCTGCTTGCGGGCTTCTGGAGGGCCGCTCTCGCCTGCCCCACGTCCTGCACGTGCGGCGCTTCTCGGATCTCCTGCAGCGACCCTTCCCCTGGCATCGTGGCATTTCCGAGGCTGGATCCTAACAGTGCAGAACCTGAGAACATCACCGAAATGTGAGTTCCTGGTGCTCTCCCTCCTTCTTTCTTTCTTTAGCTCCTGAGGCCCCAGCTGGCCAGGTGGGTAGGTCCTGGAAGTGAATGCTGTCCCAAGTGTGGGGAGAAGTCCGAGAAGAGACACAGGGCTGGGCCGTCAGTCCGATACCTATTTCACTGGCTTGGGGCTGCTAGTGCAGGGAGAAGTGTGACACTTTAAAATAAGTTTTAAATATATATGCCAATAATATGTGTGGTGGAGGGCGAGGAATTTGATATGCTTTTTATATTTCAAAGCTCTGCTGGGTGTGCTTTAGGCTTGCCTGTGTGCAATAACTTAATTTTGGACATTTTTGTTTTATAAAGTACTATATGTTGTGTTGGAATTTCCAGTAATAATTACTAGAAAGGAGGTTAAAATAATTAACTTTCCGAAATCTGTTGAAGGCAGCGAGAGTCTCTCCCTTAACGTATTTCTCTGAGGTTTAGAGTTAACCAGTTTCCCTTTTCATTTTATATATCAGATTTTGCTTAGAAGATTGCATCCAGAGATGGCCTTGAAAATGATCTGTAAGAGGAGAAGTTCTGAGTGTTGAAATGCACTCGCTCAAAAGAGAAAATGTGATCATTGGAAGCCTAAAAGCCTAGTCTGATTTAATTTGGACTTGACTTCCTAGAGATATGATTTTGAGACCATTTGGATTATAAATCTTAATTGCCCATTGAATGAATAATTTCCCGGGACTAGGTTGGATGGTAGAGCAGTGTATAGTACTCTGATGAATGCTGGCTTTAGCATCGGACCCTTATGTCCCTGGAAATGTTTGAGCTGGCATGATGGAGAAGCAGAACTGTGTATTTCTGTTCTCTTCTGGTGCCTTGTGACAAAAATTACCCAGCAAGTCCTTTCCCTAGCATTCCTGTGCCACCTCTGCTGGAGGTGTTATTATTTTTTTTTTTCCTAGGGACTTTGTCATTTCATCCATTTCATTTACATGAGATTTTTTTCATCCTTGTGGAGGATCGTAAGGCAAAGTTTCTCCCAGTTTTCCTTACCGTGTTTGACACTGAGATAGGCAGCCTGAAAGTAAGGCTTGGGCTGTGGCCTTCCGGTTGTCGAGTGCGCATGCATCTCCCCCCCCCCAACAGAAAATGCACAACCATGTTTCTGCCAACGTAGTTGACCGAGATAACCTGTTTTTTAATGTAAGTAAGAGACCTTCCTAGTCTCTGTTGCCTGTTCTGCTGCTGATGTTCACGTTGTTAAGGCCAGGGCAGGGGGGCTGTGCAGGCCTAGCATTGCTGAGATGTGCTGGGAGCAGCCAGCTGTCGGGCTGAGTCCAGGATGCTAGGATCTCAGTCTTTTTGGCAGGGAGAGCAGGAGCCAGAGGCGGAGAGGAAGGGTGGGTAGGGCTCCAACTCTGTTAGGCTTGGGCTGGGCTGGTCCAGGCCCACCAGCCTGGTCCAAAGTGTCTGTGGCCTTTTGTCAGAATCTGTCTTTCTCACAAGATGGGGCATCAGTAGTCAGATGGAGGAGGCCATATGGAATTCAGAGCCCTTCAGTCTATTTTGAGACCATGGGGAGTGCCTCTATACAGTTAGACACTGTTGCTGTGTGTTGGGGAGGGGGGTTGTTTCTAAATTCTGTATTAGATGACAGGTGCATATAATGAAGAAAGAAATGACATAGGGATGATCATTTTCACTTTAATTTTTTCCCTTTGATATGTTTAATACCACCATCTGAGAAGTAGAAAATAAAACTATCTTTAAATGTAAAAAATTATTATTTCGAACTCTTGTGGGTGCCCGATATATATGAAATCAATAGATTTGAGCAGAGCTTTCCTAATTGTTGTTGTTGCTTCTTTTATATCTGATGGCAGGTTCTGATTTTCAGGCTTTTTAAAATGGATTTTAAAAAAATATATTGACTAAAGCATTTGTCACAGTTATTAATTCAATCGTGGCACTCCTAATTTCTACTTTTATTTTTATTTGAAACTCCATTGGGATTGAGGGATTGGAGAGTGGAGGGGTAAGGCTAAGTGTTAAGGGCAGGGAATTAGGTTAGTAATATTAGGCTGAGTAGATATGAGCTCTGAGAAAAGGTACATTACTCTGTTCCTCAGCCCTGTTTGAGCCCAGCCAATTTATGCTCTGGTGTCTTTGTAAAACATATCACAATACTAGTTTGGAAAGCACTTTGTATAAGTATTTTGAATTCTGCTTTTTTGATCTTAAAGTGACATTAGTAGATGCCCTTATTCCACGCTCATCCTTATAAGATACCATCTGTGTTCTTTCTCTTACATATTAATGTTTGCTTGAGTAGCTTTTAAATTTTTGGCCAGTGGATACCAGCTACAGTTGGAACCAAATTACACTTTTTTTTTTTTTTTACTTTATTATTAGACCCAGTGGCATTCCTTAAATAACCTGTTTTAAAGTTCTAGTTTAATGGCGTGAACCTGAAGTTACGCATTTCCATTTTTTTTAAAAAAATAGGAATACTGAAAGTAAACTGTGATTAAAACTTGCTGAAGCAACAGTTTACCACATCATTTAAAAATGGTGTATTTTTCAGTATCTGTATATTAAACCCCTGCGCCCATAGGGTTCTGAGGATGCAAATAGAAGAAATTTAAAAAATATATGTATAGTTTAATTAAAGAGTAGGATTTTTTATATGTGTGTTTTAAGCTAAGCTGACATTTTATTTTCAGAGTCACTGTTTGAACCTGTTTTATTAAAAATCTTCCCACCATAGTATCTGTCCCATACTTTTTACCCTCTAATGTGATATATCTAGATTTGTATCTTTCTATCTATAGATATATATCACGCCTGCCCAATGTTGCACTGCTAAGTGGCAGGTCCTGTTATTTGGAAATGGTTATACCACAGCAGTGTTAAAATAGATTTAAAAACACTACCAGTGTCACATATAATGGAATTCAAGAGTGAAGCCTGTTGTTGGAATTATGTAACCAGCCATTGAAGTCCCAGTTGCATCAAATGCCAAAGTGCATTGCAAAGGACAAGTTCTGTCTCACCCAAGTGGGAAAAGGCATGGTCAAAATAAGTAATGCATTTTTTTTTTTACTGTGGTAAAAAATACATAACCTAAAATTTACTATCTTAACCATTTTTAAGTTTACAGTTCAGTGGTGTTAAGTATATCCACGTTGTTGTGGAAGAGTATGCATTTTTATATTGCACATGTTTTATGAAGACAAAGAGGGATCTTTTTCTGAATTTCTTGAGTGATATTCTCTGATTTGCGGGTAATATTGGAGACAAGTCTAGTATTTTTCCTCCTAGCACAACTGAAATAGAATTTTCAGCTTCTACTCTCAGAGCCTCTATGTACGATTTATTGTTACTGCTGGTTAAGCAGCTGTAATGTTATGCCATTAATACATTGATTTTGGCCCTCTCACCTTAATAAGCTCTGCCATTGCAATTAATCGTACTTAAAAAAAATTCCTGGCATTTGCAAAGATTCAGTGAAAGACATCAGTTTTTATCACTCTGGTATTTACTTCTCAGCCCTTCCATTGGGGGTTCTAGAACTTTGGATTGTGCTTTATATGCATTTAAGAACCATGTATTTAAATATGGAGTGTGGTTACATAATGCACACTGGGCTTGTTAATAAATAAGGCAGTCTAATTTACACCATTCATTATTTAATACAACTTGCAAGCTCGAGTTGAAAACATGCTGTCTTCATAGTGTAGATATTTACAGACTTCAGCTCGGCACAACCATGTGAAGCCTTCTTAGTTTCATACCTTCAATATCTGCAATATGGAGACTTTTGTTATTCTGGGTAAAACAATTGAAAAGCCTCATGACCCTTCTGACCCTCTCTGCCACCTCCCCTTCCATCACCCATCATTTACTGTATAGGAAAATGTGTTTGATTTTTTTCTTCTCTGAAAAGTGATATTTCCTAATGGGAATTCAGAGAGCTGGAGTTAAGAGAAGAGCCTGGGTTATATGTTCTCACAAATATGTAATGGGAAGTTGAAACAATGTGGCCACAGCTCCCTACTGCTGCATTTAGGTCTGTTTAAGGTCTTTCACTGTTTCTATCTCATAAACCTCTGTTTGTGTCTATTTCAGTATTCCCTTGTAAAGATGTTTTCTAAGCTGAAAAGTTGGCTGAACAGCTGAGAGTTGAGATCTCTTTCTCCCTAGGAACATTCTGTATGATCTCTTTGACTATATCTAGGTCGTAGAAGTATAAAACCTAGAGTTTTTGTTTAGCCGAGGAAGGGGAATTGAATTTCTTTCCTTTTTTCTTTTCCTCTTGGGCAAATGCCTCCAGTTTTAACTCATTGCTCATCTTGCCTGTTAGGGAAAGAAGCATTATCAAACCATTATTGAATACCATGCACTGGCATTATCCTGTAGGCTACTTTACCACTTCTCTAGAGAGCCTCCTATAGGTTCAAAAGCTATGGGGCAGGATGTAGCATTGAATCTGCTGACCCCTGAAGCAATGCCAGTTTTTGGTCTTTCTTGATGCCTATAAATCAATAAGAGGATTTAGGGGAAGAGATTATTTAGGCATGGCAAACTTTTTACTTGTTTGATGTGTGTATGTGAGAGAGAGAGAGAGAGGGAGCGAAAAAAACTGCTGAATCTTGGATTATTAATAGTTGATTGATCATTTTCATAATCTACTTGGTCAGGCTATTTTAAAACACAGATATCCCCTGCCCCCAGCCTCAAATGGCAGAGATCTGAGCCTTGCAGTGTTCTGATAATTTTAACTCTACATTTGATTGCTGATCAATTTCCATTTACAAAAGCAAGATCCCAGGTAACTGGGTGCCTGCTCACTACTTACTTTGCTCTCTGGGGTGTCCAAAGGACTGGGAAATTGTATTGATCTGGGAGATGGATGAGTGAATGCTCCTGAAGTTATTTAAAAAAAATAACCCCGTGAAGGAGAGTAATGCACAGATACTAAGTTCTTTCTGCACATTTTTTTAAGTACATCATGGGAA